ATTATTACCTTTTGAACGATTCTGTACGTGATCTATCCAGACAGGATAGAATAACATTTATTTGTGGTGATTGGTAATTTTCTTGCATCTTCTATCAAGTTCTTTATTTATTGTAATTTAGATTTAATTGATTGAACAATCATTGGTTGAATAGCCGGGTGATAATATTTGTTTAGGTTGTAGTCGTATTGGGATTACCAATTGTAGCGTGGCGTCGAGTTGAGATTAACTATGAACACCGCTACCAAGAAACACGTGCCAATTAGATCAGAAGGCGTAAGAAGCTCGTTCCAAATGACTCCATAAAATCCCCGAGAAGCCGAATACCAGAAGGCAATTAATGGACCAAGTCGAGGTTTATTAGCTGGCGATCTCGTGGCATCGAAAGGATACCGAGATCGTGCCAGGATACAAGCTTGGTTACAGAACGTAACCGAATTCGCGCGAAGTTACAATCAAAGTGTAAGTATAAGTATGGAAGCACAAAATAGCTGTCATTAGCACAGTCAAACAAAAGCACATTAAAACAAACACTGGTACAGTTGGTTATAATAATAATTGTTTTTACTAAACCAGTCGTGTTCTCGTGATAAATGTGAGTCACTACAGGAGCCCCCCGCTAGAAAGGGTTTACACTTTCGATAAATAGCGGTTTGAATCGTGGGACTGATCGGCTGACGAGCGATTGTAGGACCGAAAGATTGGCGAACAGGAAAGCGATCGTTGATCGTCGAGTTGCCAACGAAGGTCGTTTTCGGAGAACAGTACCAGGAGCGATGTGTTGTATTGATTGCTCGAGTTGGCATGCTACACGAGAGTGGTTTGTATCCAGAATCTGAAGAGGGCGTTCGTAGGGAATGCGGACCAGGAACGCTGCAGACGAAGGACGAAACCACGTTGAGCCAAAAGACCAGAAGCGACCATAACGACCAAGTTCGAGACCAAGCGTTCGAAACCAATATATCGACTGAGTGCGTTGACAAGAGCATAGGTGATCAGGCCAGCTTTCGCCAAAGTTGACTGAAGTCGACGGAACCAAGCGGAGATAGTCGGAGGCGTGGGCTCAGGAAACAAAAAGAAAATCAAAAAAAGAGGAGTGTAGCATGCAAGTAGCATAGGAATATCCCTACACCGTATCGGTTGTCGACTGTGCGACTAGTCGAGGAAGCGTACGGGTAACCGTACTCGGCGACCGGAGCGTGAGACGATAGTCTCGTTCGCGTCGCGTGAGCCTGCAATCTCATCCGAAGTCAAGGGCGGCGTGGTCTGCTGATCTGGACGTGAGACTGTAGTCTCGTCCGTAGACGGTGCAGATGACGCGTGCTGTTGACTGGGACGTGAGAATGAGGTCTCAGATGTATCTAGCGTGGGACCTGAAGAAGATTTAAGATCCCGCTAGGTTTGATAGGTCTAGCATTGAATCTCAGGGTGTCAGATAGGGCACTGTCATCGACGTGTGCTGGTTTGAGACGATCAATGCTGACGATCTCGACGCGTCCATATCGATCAACCTTGAAGGTCTTTTCGTGACGAGCGATCACGTGAAAAGGGCCTTCGTAAGGTTGTTGCCAAGGTTTGCGTACCGAATCTACTCGTACAAAAACATGTGAACAGGTAGATAACTCTCGAGGGAGAGCGACCTGTCGATGTTGTATTCGAGTTGACACCGGAGACAGCGTTCGCATAAATGCAGACAGTCGACGGACGTTGTCTGATTTACCGAAATCAGGTCTGCTCCGTGGTATGAAGGATTCTCCGGGCAGACGCAATGTCGTGCCATATACAAGTTCAGTGGCGGAACATTGGATATCTGCCTTTAAGCTCGTTCTCACCCCTAAAATAACGAGCGGTAAGGTTTCGTACCAGTTGTCGTTCCCGTGTGCTCGTAGAACACTTTTAAGTTGGCAGTGAAACCGTTCAACTTAACCATTTGGTGCTGGGTGGTAGACGGATATGCTTATGCGTATGCATTCCGTACCAAGCAGCCGGGTCAGCGAGGAGAATCGTTAATAGGGTAACATTTCTCGAATAAAGCGTGGAATTCATCATCACGCGAATAAAAAGTGACAAGGATTCGGTACACATACGTGTGAGTCTATTATATTAATACTATTCTTATCGTTATCCGTCATGTCGCGTATATTATATATTAAATAGTAATACGAAAATATACGACAGACGTGGATAGATAAACCATAGACTCACCGAATTGGCTTCTTTGGAAGATTTGACCAGAAGCTGAGGCGTGTTCCAAAATACGGGTCACCAAATGTAGTCGTATTGGGATCACCAATTGTAGCGTGGCGTCGAGTTGAGATTAACTATGAACACCGCTACCAAGAAACACGTGCCAATTAGATCAGAAGGCGTAAGAAGCTCGTTCCAAATGACTCCATAAAATCCCCGAGAAGCCGAATACCAGAAGGCAATTAATGGACCAAGTCGAGGTTTATTAGCTGGCGATCTCGTGGCATCGAAAGGATACCGAGATCGTGCCAGGATACAAGCTTGGTTACAGAACGTAACCGAATTCGCGCGAAGTTACAATCAAAGTGTAAGTATAAGTATGGAAGCACAAAATAGCTGTCATTAGCACAGTCAAACAAAAGCACATTAAAACAAACACTGGTACAGTTGGTTATAATAATAATTGTTTTTACTAAACCAGTCGTGTTCTCGTGATAAATGTGAGTCACTACAAGGTAATGATTTACATTAAATTTATTATGAATTATAGAACCGCTAGTTACCCGATTACTTGTTCTGATTTCGACGGGAAAGGGCGCGTGTCTAAAATCCCCGGTCGGCTATTCTTCAACATCCAAACCGTAGTTTGGATCCTACAACTCCCACGTAAAATTGATCATGCAATTCTAACCTTTGACTTGCATATAATTGTTTAACACGAGCGTGCGTCAGCTCAATACAGGCCTAACGTCTGGAAAGCAATACACAAGGTATAATACACTCGGCATCGTTAGTAGATTAGACAATAGAGCCAGAATCCTCAACTGAAACGGCTTGAGACGTATTTGGAAATTAATCATTAAAAGTTACTGCACTCAACATCTCTTGGACTACACCAAGGGGGTCGAGAAACTCCCCGTTCATGGATGAGGAAATATTCCGGTACTATGGGGAGACAGTACTGCTTCATCATTAATGGAGGATGACTTTGGTAAAGCTCAAATATTCTCGAACTACTTTAGCCATATATACACCATAGAAACACCCCGTCAGTCCATGCAAATCCCTTCACACAAACACTGAACCACGAGACCATTAAAAAACTCGATGTCTTTGGTCTGCTAAATAAGCTAGACATAGGTAAGTACACGGGACCCGATGAGCTGCATCCTAGGTTACTGAAGGAATTGGCTAACTTTGTTGCGAACCCTTTAAGTATACGCTTTAATCTATCCGTAACCCAGAGTCCTTTAACAAAAGACCGGAAGATCACCACAGTAAGTCCAGTCTTCAAAACACATACGAAATATAAACCTGAGAAATACCGACCAGTTAGCATAACTAGTGTGGTTGTTAAAATCTTAGAAAAGATTATTCGAAAGGAGCTTTTAAGTACCTCGGTGAAAACCGGATCCTTTCGGAGAAGCAGCATGGTTTTAGAATAAGTTATTCCTGTCTCACTAAGTTATTAGTGGCTCGTGAAGGCTCTCAAGGACCAAAAGCTACATGTAGACGTAGCCTACATTGACTTCAGCAAAGTTTTTGACAAAGTTCTGCACAACCGGCTGTTATATAAGTTAGGAAATTTCGGGGTTGGAGGCAATCTATTGATGTGGATAAAGGACTTCTCAGTTGGGCGCCAACAAAGAGTAAGGGTGACCTCCAAATTGTCTAGCTGGGAAACTATGCTTAGTGGAGTGCACCACGGCACAGTTTTGGGGCCAGTGTCACTCCCCTTGTATGTAAATGACCTTTCTTGTCTCCTATCATCATCGGTCTTGCTCAGTGCTGACGATGTAAAGATATGGAGGGCGATACGAAGTAAAGGTGATAGCTTAGAACTCCCAAATGACCTGGATAAATTATCTGAATGGTCTCAAACCGGGCAGTTGCCGATAAATACTTCCAAGTGTATTGTGATGCATATCGGTCGTCAAGGCATAGATACATACACAATGAGTAACACTAAACTACCTGCTGTCCAGACACACTATGAATTAGGATTCATCGCTATCCAAGACTTATAGACTACTTCACACTGCCGTGCAGTAGCCGCCAAAGGTTTTAGAACTTTGTGGTCAATACGTAGGGCCTTTAGTCATGTCGATGCTGAAAACATTTTGACTTTGTATACAGTGTTCGTACGTCCTAAACTTAAGCAATGCATACAAGCAGCGAGCCCCTGCCTAAAAAAGACATTAAGCTTTTGGAAAAGGTCCAGAGAGCAGCAACCAAGCTGATTTCCGGAATAGCGAAGCTCTCGTATGATGCTCGTCTGGCCAAGCTAATCCTATCCCCGTTGTCATATCGAAAAACTGGAGGTGGCTTCATTACAGTTTTAAAACTGCTTATTGATAAATTTGCACCCGATATGCCATCATTTTATTGTATTCCAAAGCAGAGAATTTACGAGGATGCTTCAAAGAAGTTCACAAGCACAGGGCAAATTACTTGTCATCCGACTATCGACTTTCCTATCGAATCATCAACGAGTGGAATTCATTACCTCAGCACGTGGTTGAAGCTCCGTCCGCTGACTCTTTCAGAAGAAAGTTGGATCAACTGAGACACCATCATTGTCAGGACTAACACAGGTTATCAAACCTCGTGTCCTTTCCAAACTGGAACTGAATGCGTAGTTGAAGCTAGATATGACCAGTTGTATTAGCTTAACTTTATACTGCGACAAACTTTGAGCTGTTCTTTGGAATCATGATGTTAGTGAAAATAACTCAACTGACTGGTACCAGTCCGTCAGAAAGATTATATATTGAAACATTAGTTCCAAACCTTGACATGACCTTTGGGGCGCAATGAAGGAAACTGAGGCGGGGTTCTGCTTCCGAGCTCCTCTCCCTGTTTGTGACTTGGATGGTGACGTACCGCTTTATCCTGACGCGAAACGATTAAAGTTATGGTAAGGATAACATTTTTGGCTCTAGAAGTGCTTTTTTCCAGCTCATCTCGTGTCTCAAGTGTTTACGAGCGAATCTTCAATCGGAATTGTCGGGATCTTAGTGGGAAAGACAAAAGCAACAACATCACAACTTACAACGGTTCTTCCTTTAAAAATCTAGTAAGAAGTTCAAACTGACTGTATTTTTGGTTTGTCATCTCTCATTTTGCGAGTATTCGCACCACATACAATCTCGGTAGAAATTTGTCTTTCTATCAGCCTCAATTTCTAAAACATTACGTATCTTTAGATTTTATCTGTAATTTCGAAAGATTTAAGTCGCTTGCAGAAATCACCTCAGTGGTGTGATTTTGTTATTGATTTGATTACTAACTTAACTCTTTAACCGAATTGTATTTAGTATTAATTAATTGCAAGTATAATGTGGCTGATTTCGGGGCGCCCCGAGGTCGTAGAGGAAGAATTAAGTTTTTTAAAAGAGATATTTATCAAAAACGGACATCCTTCTATATTCATTGATAAGAACATGAAACCGAAAATGCCAAGAGCACAAACAATTGCAGTAGAAAAGAAAATTTTATACATGAACATCGACTTCAAAGGTGATAGAGCCGCATATATCTTAAAGAGGAGAATTTCAGATTCTTTAAAAAGAACATTCTTCGCAGCAACATTGCAAATATTATTCTCCAGCCGATCACTGTTCACCAATAATCTGAAAGATAAATTATCGCATCTGACCAACTCAATGTGCATTTACCAATTTACCTGCTCTTGTGGAGCTAGGTATATAGGTCGTTCGATGCGTATTTTATCCAAAAGAATTCAAGAACATTGTCCGGCGTGGCTAAGAAGAGGAGGCAGCTGCTCAATAAGAAGTTCTATAATCGAACACCTTGTGAACACAGGTCACTCAATCAAGACAGACTCTGCGTTCAAGGTCATCTACAAGGTAAGTAGAAGCCTTCCTAAGACCATTAGACTGCATCTTCTTTGCATTACCGAGGCAATAGCCATACATTTTGAAAAACCAGAATTATGTGTACAAAAGAGACTGATACAACCTCTTCTTTTACCATGGTCTTAATGTATTAAAAAATTTTTTCTCTTTCTCATTACTCTTGTTCTTTTACAGCCACCTGCTTCACCTTCTATCTTCCCTTCAAATCTTATACCCCCAACCGGTTTGTTTTTATTTCCACGATCATTCCGATTATATTTCATCTCTGTTTCAACATTTTATGTTATTTTATCATGCTGAGCTACCCTTACCCGATGAATATCTAAGCCATTAACTATCAAACTTTCCTTGTTTTAAAACATTTTTCTAATACCTTTGTTTATTTAACCTCACTGTCACCATGTATAACATAAGTTTATTATCAGTATTATTATCACCCTGTAAAAATAAGTATATATATTTGCGATTGTACAGCTTTGAAAATGAATTCGCCGAAAAGAGAACTCTTCGCTGAACTAATCTTTCTTTCTTATTTAATGTCATAATGGGTGTATTCCGTTTATTAAAAAAAAGACACGATACACATAACCAAGCCTACGTAGGAGTCTGTACGCTCCAAACATCCGCATATATTGTAGTACCTAGCTGCAGCCAGTGTTACTTGTACTTTTACTATCCAGTTCGCAATAATTGTCATAATTTGCTTTAGTTAGGATTTATATATAGGGTTTTCATCACGAACTGACGTCAGCTATAACGCCAAAATTCTGTTTAGCCAAATGAATGAAAGACGTTCGCACCAAAATCCGTGATCTGTCCTTATAACTGATTGATTCGTTCACAAGTTATAGTCTCGCTATTTTATTTGTTATAGCCGCTCAATTATCACGTTTTGCATAAAATCCTCTGTAAACCGATCATACGTTAGCACTAAGTACTGAAGTTGATTCTGTGATCTTGGAACCCCTCGAACACTTCTGATTGGCTCGTCCATAAATTAGAGTCTCGCAGTTTATCGTATTAACTTTGATGTCCTCATCCTTCCTCTGTTTCTTGTGCATCCGAGAAGTGCGGTAACTTGGACCACATCTTATTTCCGTTAGATGTGATTTGTGCGATGTACTTGTCTATGTATAAAAATTAGCCTTCAAGGTTGGTTTTTCCCGAACGTTATCACTTATGAAACTCAAAAAAGACACTAGGTTTCCCACCACTTCACATCAATATTTAGTTCATGTCTCCGTTTAATCTATATCAGGATGATATTTATGCAAGGCATCGTAATATTTTTTTAATATGGTGCAGCCCAGTAGTCAAGAAAATGGTATGGCAAACTTTTAGTCATCTAGGGAAAATAGAGATGACTTGCGTAGTGGAGCGGACAGATGGAATCCAAAAATATAACTTGACCAAGTTTCGCATATGTAAACCACAGGATGTATGTATGCTAAATATAATATTCATTTTTGTTTGCATCTGAAACATAAAATACGTTGATGGGTAATGCACTATGACTGTCAGTTCACGCGAATTGTGATTATTTTCATTTGTCTTCAGATGCTGTTTCAGAGTGAATCTAAACTATGCCAAGTAATTCTGAAATCCAGTTTTGAGTTTAAAAAAAGGAAAATAATTAATATTTTAGAACTTTTTTGATTGTAAAGATTTACAAGCTGATAGTTTAGTTTCCATTTTGATTTTATGCGTTTGCTTTTTTTAAAGACACTTTCGATCAAGTGTTCACTTGTACATGATATCTAAAAGCATATGGTCTTATGTGTGGTGCCAAGTATCCAAAAGTTAGTCAACGTTCAGGTAACTCATCATCATCATCATCACTGCACTTACTAACTCTTCCAAATCTACTACATCGCTACACCTTAATCTGGTATCTACCATAACAGTAGTCTTATTTTCAGTTGCATTATTTTCCTGCTTTGATCGTTTGCTGTCATCATCTAGTGATTAGAAAGATGTTAAATAATGGAAAGTAATCCGCTCAAACTCAAAATATTTCTTCACGTATTTATCATGCCATATTCTCAGCATCCCCTAACGGTAAATTCTGTTTCAGCTACCATCCGTGAGTTTGAAGGCATTTAATCGGCCTGGTGATGTTTGTCATTATTTCCTACAAAGTTTTGTATCCGATAATCGTATTTACTCGCAAAAAATGAAGCAGTCATCCGTTTTCAGCTCTACTCCGTTTAGTGGTCACACAAAGTCATCTCTAGAGAAAAATCACATCTCATCTGAAAGGCAGATATATCAACGGTTGTTAGATAAGGCGTCATCATTTTCCCGAACTCCTACTGGCAAACCTACGAATAATGCATGTGGTCCCATCACTATAAATCTTGACGAAATTAAAGATAATCACTATTCTTTATTGCGGCAGTAAGTCATACTTTTATGTCACTACTGGTTTGTTTTGATGTTTACCATCTTAATGACTGGCAAATTCGTTCCATTTGTTATTGAAACTGTAATCTGTAGAATGTCACAATGTTATCCAAGTTTTCTAAATACCTTTTCCATACCATTATCTCATCCACTAATCTTCATATTTCACATGGTGTTAAACTTCCGTAATTTCGCTTATATCCGTCTTGAACCTGGTGATGTTGAACAGTGAGGCGGATATAGTGAAAATTAACAAGTCTTCATAAACATGCTTCTGGATGACTATTACCTTTGTAAGTAAATAAAATTGTATGCAACTATATCCCTTGATAAATTTAAACAGAACAGGAACAGTCAGGTTTGAAGAATATAATGAAATTATTCTATTTGACGGCTTCTGATCAACTGTATATAGCTTTAAATTCCAGCTGTTAAAATAATTGTAATTAAATGTTTAACATACTTAAGTTTGCGAAGTTTAGACAAATGTGCAAGACGTAAACGAAATCATTATAAGGGAAGACACGAAATGTATGAACAAAAGTAGTTAAGTCTGACGCGTATTTGTATAATGTAGAGTAGGATTTTTTATATTTATTACTAATCAACCAAAATGAAATTCATAGCTGGTTTCATAATCATTTGAAATGTTAAGAAGCAAAGCCAAATAAATGTGAACATCAATAAGATTATGTAAGGGATAAATATTAAAAGACCAAATAAGGGGTGGGGGTGAAAGTTGATAAATTTTGTTTGATTAGTACTCAGCGACTATGGCAGAGAAAGACTAAATAGATAATCAACGTGCCCAACGACCGACTGCCTCGACGTGCTATGTTCAGTGGTATAGGAGTAGGTTGGAAGAAAGCTAGGGGCGGCCAAACCAAAACATGGCACAAGTCCATGAAGTCACTGACAAGTGAACTGAGTCATGTTGGTAGGTGTAGACTACCTGGTTGGGGACCGCGAGATGGCAGCAACCGATGGTTAGAGACCCTGAATGACATGGCTCAAAATCGTTTGCAATTGCGCAGGTGCATCCACTCTCTGTGTTCTCCCAAATTCTAATCTCCTGAATTCTTCATGTCCCTTAATTTTTCTCTTTCCAGATTTATTTCACTGGATTATACTCTTTAAATAACATCTTCAACCCCTAATCTTTCCGATTACTGCTTATACTCTTACTACCTCTACCACTACGGGATTTGAATCGACAAGTGCATCTCTGTGCTAATGTGGTGTGGCAACTCGAACTGATGTACGTACGTACGAAGTTCTACGTTGTTACTGACTGACTGACTGAGATAATCAACGATAATTTACTATAAAGAGACTCATATCGATAGTTTGTATTAATCAAAAGCAATATGAAAATACCATAAACTTATTACATAATAATTTTACAGTAAAAATAAGAATAGTTCACCATATAATAGGTCCAGAGGTCCCAACTTCTTCAATATTACACGTTTTATCAGGAATCTTTTATCTTAGAAACTACTTTGGATACTGATAACTCAGTAGTTATCACAACCTTATGTTCTTTCTTATAACCAGGAATCAAGACTAGTCAAATACAGCGGGTGAAATTCGCCTATTTTCTTAATTAATCTTGGTAATCGTATTAGTTAACATCTCTTTTAGACTCATGGAATTAATTCATCGGGTCCTATTGTTCCTTTTCTCTTCAAGTTAGCCATAGTTTTCTTGACTCAAAGTTTGAACTACAGTGCCAGTCATTCATTTTGGCTTCTAGTGGATAATGAACAACTGGATGCCAGTTGTAGTATGTTCTACGTGTCTGGAAAGTCTGATAGTTGAGTTTTTTTGTTCTCTTTCATATCCTTCAAGTTAATTAACTAATTTTCTCATTTGTTAACCTGTTTCCTAAATCCTGTTTATTTTGTTTTTAGATGTAATCTTTCTCCAATTCTTCCGAGGAACCGAATCCAGCTAATTGACGACGCTAGTAAGCTTACTGTTTTTAAAGTTCAATGGTGTTTTGACGAAAAAAGGTTGATTTCATCAGGCATTAGTAACAATGAAAGTTAAGGTGCGAATTTATGACTTCTTTCATGCTTCTTCTGAAAGGTATGCCCTAGTAAATAATTTCTGGTTATTGCTTGATTGTAACCGAATACGACATTCAAATAAGGGTATTCAAGAAGATCTGATTAATTTATTTTGATCTAGCTAAGTTTACACAGATTTGCATAAGTATTTAATGGATCAGGTTGTATTAATGATTCAGTCGGTCGAATATTCGTCACAACTTTAAATGCTGCTTAGTTTTATTTCTCATTAAAGTACAGTTGGTGTCTAAAGAGATCTCTGAGAAACTGTCAGATGTAATAAATGATTCGCTAAAAGGGACGAGATGAATAATACCTAAGTACTAAAACACTACGTCTAACTGAAACCAGATACACAGGTTGCGATATCAGTAAATGCTTATACATCGACTACTGCGATGCAGTTTTTTTCGCCCTAAAGTTGATTGTATTTCAATTTAGATGGTTTCTTATAATCTTATCCAATTCTCTTGCTAGGCACAAATAATCAAACTGTCTCTATCCCATCTTCAGATATCAGTGATTCGAAAACTCGTGCGTGGCTTGAAAGTATTGCAGAATCTCCCTACTTATCGGATAACTGGCTTAACAACTTGACCTCAAGCTATCAGGCTAAAAAGAATGAACGTGAACGTGACTATGAGTTGGCGAGAGCAAACATACGATTTTGGGAGAAGCAGGTAATTTAGGTGCTGTTGCATTTTTCCTTAACTGAACGAAACAACCTTGGTTAATCTTAATGGGGTTTTCTGATCACATTTTAGTTCTATATTCATGATTCTTCAAGAATATACACCTTCATCTCGAGGTTCAATTTTGAATTGAACATGAAGTACAACTTAAGGTTGATATAATTAATAATATAACTGATTTATTGTTTTATTGCAGCTCTTTATTTCAGATTTTCACTAAGTGAATTTACATAATTAAGATCGTGACTCATTAACCTTTGGCAATTTTTTTAAAGTACTATAATTCTGTACTAATTATGCTTTATGAATACTTCAAGAATGTTGTTGGAAAACTAAATATATATGGAAGATATCGAGTTATTTATTAACAAACATTATATTTTATTCATATTAATAACACGGATTATTCTAGGTTCATTCACTCTTCGTCTTTCTTTAAAACCTTAGTGCCCAAATCCTTTTCACCTTTCTTTTTTTTCTTTATTGAATCTTTTCGACTACTGATGCTGTTACTACTCCTAACAATCTGCGGTTTGTCTTGAAATAATTTTATCTCATTGTAGTAGTTTAGTATAGGTACTTGTGTAGTGAACAAGAACACCAGTGGGGACAATCGAATCTATTCAACACAAAAATACAGGATTTGTTAATAAAATTTAACAATCATAAAGTAAATGCCTAATTTGCAAAATGTCCATCAATTGTCTCATAATGACTCAGACTTCATTGTTCTTGCATTTTCACACAAATTGCATCCTGTTTCCATTCTTTACTGTTCTATCCTCTTGTCTTTCTGCTGCCAGACCTGTTCACGACTAACATTATATACTACTTATGTCGATATAAGTAGCACACACCACACTTGAATCGATCCACATATTTGTCAGGTTCTACGTTGTGTATAACCGACTTATAGATTGATAGTAAAGCCTAAGGATTGTTGGACATAATGAATTCATCATCTGGGCTTTCTTTGAATAATTCCATAAGATATCAATTCTTATGCCTATTCTCCTCCTCCTCTTTTCTTTACTCAATAAATAGATCAAAACGAGCAGAAGCTCTTCTATTATCCAAATACAAAATTCAACTCTGTAGTAAGGTTATTTAGTTCTGTATGCCCATAAAATAAAGCATTTTTAGAAGGAATATAATAAGCATTTATGACCTGGTTCAATCATTGTACTCCTAAGGATAATTATCTTCCATCGTTGTTTAACATGTGTTCTAGTTGTTCAGAATTAGCTATATGACCTTGAACGAATCTACTGATTAGCTTGACTTAAAAGTAGTATTGCTGTCTAGCGTTCTATTTATCTCGATTTGATGATCAATGGATCGCGTTCGAATTCTTACGTCATCCAACAACATAGTGTGTTAAATGTTTTCTTAATTTTATGATGTATTACTGTTTTAAAATTAAGCGAATCAACCAAAAGTTAGACTATTCAAGATAATTTTTTTTATAAATAACTAATTTTTATAATTGTAACACTTCATTTCATTGCTTCATTATTTCAGCGTGCTTCAGCTGAAAAAGAGCGTATTGACAATCTTGAACAGAGACTTGCTTGTTTACTAAGAACACCTCCTATTCTGGAAGATCCATATTTAGTACCCCAACCTATTCCCATTGAACTGCCATATAAACCTGTCAAAGTTAAAGAACCCAAAGTACCAGCTCTTCCTGGTATGATTTTTTCTGTCTATTTTGTATTAGTTTATAGTGTTCATTTAATTATAATCTTAATGGTGTGCAAATTATGAAAATTCACTATAAGTTATCTAGTTAGTTCACGGTATGAATACTACTATAGCAATAAGGTTGGAATGAATTTGTCAATTATCGTCCATCCTTCACATGTATATCATTTATATATGTGTGTGTGTGGAGGGACTTTGTTTTCTCGCATATTGTATCCATTGTAGTGTTAATAAAATTACACTAACGACGATTCACCTGCAAAGCCTCATTCATTTAGGTAGGTTTAGTCTTATTTAGTCAGTATTGAATTCTGTGTCCGTTCGGCTGGCATCACATTAGCCAGTGGCAACCAGAAAGTAAAACTGGCTCCTATAAACTGTCATTACTTAAGCAACCTACTTTAACAAGTATAATTTAATATATGTTTACAGGAGGTAAACATGTTTCAACATTTTCTAGACGTAGCTGTATGTGGTAGAAATTGTTGATTTATTTTTCTACTTTTTATTATTAACATTAAGGTAGTGTTGTACTTTCGAAAGTGTAGTTCAAAGATGAAGTTTCACATTTTATTTCTATCGTTATTGTATTTTGTTTTTTGTTTCTTAGTTTTAACTGCACCTCAACTAGCTGAGATTGAAGCAGCTCTTCGTACTGGTTCTCCAGATGAAGTACTTGTAGATAAATTTAGATTAGTTATTACGCGTCGTGAATTAATGACATTAACTGGAACAAATTGGTTAAGCGATATGGTCAGTTTCATATTTATGAATTAATTGCGACCTCAGATTATATTTTGGGATAATTGTTGCTTTTTTGTAAATCTAGCCAGTAAAGCGATAATACACAAGGCTGTAGAGCAATATAAACAACTAACTTGCAATTATTCAGTGACCGATGCCTGAGGCTTTTGCCTATACTTGTCCAAAGCATTCGGCAAAATGTAAACTTCCCGATTCAAGCCTGTCGGATAAACGTAATCTATGGTAACAAATCCTAAGTATGATGTAACTCGATATCCATAGTGGTATGCCAAATCTTCATATTCATTCGTTAGCTGTCTTTAAAAATCTTGATTTCAATGTTTATGCAAGTGCAGAAAAGTTTTTCCATTAATTTATCTTTTAACGACTAATCAACCAATTCTAGTACATTCACGTTCCAATTTGAAGACTTCTATAAACAACATGATCTAGTGTGAATAATCAAACATACAATTCATTGATTGGAGTTCACTTCCTTTGTACTGAATCATTTTTAACTTATGATTACCTTCAATAAACCACTAAAATCAGGTAGTTCAGTGGCTATTTATTTATTGTATATTTAAACACAAACATTGGTACAAGGGGCATCAAAAAGATATGCGTCACATAAATTATTCGATTCTTGTGAGGGTTGGAACCCTGTCCGGGTACCCGAACCGAAGCAGTTCAGTGTCTGGTAACTTACATCTTACTATTACCCAAGTATTTTCCATAAAGCATTGATTCACTATCTTCTCGTAAAACATACTCTAAAACATTCTGTACATTTTCAACTATTCCATTTTCTAAGTTTCATTAAGCTAGCAACGTTTCTTCTGTAATTTAAGTATTGTCAGTATACAAGATCATACATTTCATCTTCAAACTTTTAATTTATGAATTATTTTCTATACTTTGTTTCACAGGTAATCAATTTCTACCTACAATTGTTACAACATCGAAGTCAAAATCAAACAAATCTTCCTCGTATCGCTGTTTTATCAACATTTTTTTATGCAAAGTTAACAGCACCAATAGGTGGAGGTTATTCAGGAGTCCGACGTTGGACACGACAATCAAAATTATTTGATCAAGATATTGTACTTATCCCAATTCATGACAGAGGAATGCATTGGTGTTTAAGTGTAAGTAAATAATCGAATGGCAGGGTTTTGAGTACTACCCCTACTTTTTACTACTAAGTATTAATTATAAACACTACTACCTCACGTATTTCATTCTAAGTAGCCAGTCGTTATCTCTAAATGTCACATAAAAACTCATCACTGAAAGTTCCGAATCTGTTTTGTTCAGAGAGTTACACCCTAATCCTTTAACCTTGAGGTCTCATCTACAAGGTAGTGGAGCAACGTCAGAGGACTCAGTCTTATATTAAATCGTGACCAAAATAGGTACATGCGCTAATTGTTTCCTCAGGGCCCTTCAACAGATCTACATCATTGGTTTGATTATAATGGTGACCCTCCACCTGGAGCTAGCACATTCATTACCAAACTGGTCCCTACCCAGTTGTGTAAGCTTGTAGTTGAGTGTTAAGTTTTTAATAGTTGAATTCATGATTCGATCTAGGCTAGACGACGATTGAAGACCTAGAAGCACTGAACGGCCGTTTCGCCCTAGTATGGGACTCCTCAGAAGTGCCCATCCACGATCTTGCATGTCGGACTCGAACCGAGACCTTTGGTCTCGCAAACGAATGCTTAACCTCTAGACCACTGAGCCGGTATGCGGCGGTGTTAATGCCTAACTTCAATCGATCCACAATCTTGCTTCCTGGTCTTCAGTGGTGGTCCAGCTTAAATTGAATCATGTATTCAACTACTGAACCTACTACAATCTCCACAAATCCCCATTCTGAGAATGAAAAGTTGTCATTATTTGTTGATTAAAGGCCAAAGTTAAAGCGATTAGTCCTTTTGATAAATTCAGCCAGTTCACTGAAAGAAATTTATCAATTATGTGTAGTTTGTAGAATAGCTTTATGTAACAACAATCTCTCAATTTTACTATAATTACTATTATCAGAAATCATTCACTCAACTCTTCCATGGGGTTGATTCATAGTAGATGCCTAATCTTCAGATTAACACTGAGTCTTTGCAGTACTAAAAGTGGCCAAAATCATTTTTTATTTCCCCACTTTCGTGTTACCATTACATAAAGCTGGTGGAAAATAGATTGTGTATAAAATTGAATAACTAATTCATTATAAACGTTGGTGTTTGAATGTCGTTTGGTGAAGTAATCATATAATACTAGTATGGTGAATTGACTTATAGTTGGTTTTACATTGCTTACTTTTAATATGTAAATGATGTATAGTAGTATATCACAATATTAATCTGTTGTAATTCAGATGCAATATATCTGTTATGACGGGCGGTCTCCGAAATAAACGCGATAACCTCCCCACCCCCAACTGACTAATTGAGTGAGAACACAAGAGTGAATGAGAAAGTATATTAGGCTGCCGAATAAAATACACAAATACTCATTTATTTACATATAACTCTACCCCTTAGGAAATTAATCTGTTACTTAGCCAATGGTATGCACTTGTTCTCCAGGTCACTTCTGATTGCCAACGATTGACCTTCTCATGTGGCTACGTTTGAGTGGCTTACCTGTTGGATATCTATTGGATACTTTTTGCTGATTTAATTCTAAACTCATCTGTTTTTTAATTTACTTATCTGTATTTTTTCTGTTTTAAAAAACATAATCCCTTTCAAGTGTATTGATTTACGTGTCAAAACGATAACATATTACGATTCCATGGGTTCTGGTAACATGAAGTGTTTGGAACAGTTAATGTAAGTTTTACGTTTCTGCTGTATATCACTGACTGAAGGCTTTATGTGTATAATTAGAATGGGTTTTGTGGAGAGTTTTATAAATTTCACAGGTTGAAATCATGAGTCAATTGAAGGAGTCCCATACTAGGACGAAACGGCTGTCCAGTGCTTCCAGGTTTTCCATGGTGGTCTAGTTTTAATCGACTCATGATTTCAACCTGTGAAATTTTTGTGTATAAATTATTTTTCAAGAAAGCCTCACTAATTTCTATCGAATAGTTTCGATGTGCTTTGCCTATGAATCTATTCCAGGCTTTTTGCTTGTTAGTTTGGTAATCCAATGTTTAGAAATAGAAAAATTCAGCACAATAGTATTTTATAGTTTACATTAAGGACTATCTTCAGTTAGATAATTATTGAATATCAGGGGGTACTGGAAGTTGTTTCATTCGGGTACAGGGACTACTCATCAGTGCACATTCACCACCACACCGGGCACCGAACCTAGATCTTTCTGTTCTCTGGATTCTAGGAGACAACTAATGACATTTAGTGTTCGACCATCTTAGCCAGGTGCCCAACAGTAGCATTAAAAAATAGCTGAGCAATATTGCGGATTGATTTAACTTAAAGACTTGTAGATAGTTTTATGTTGACTTAGTGGTAAGGCCGTTGTTGCGAAACCTATTTTATTTATTTATTTGAACATATAAATACTGGCACAAGGGGGCACCAGTTACATATGCGCCACACAAATCTCATTTGATATGTGTGAGTGCTGTGGTACTGCCAGGGTGCCCAAACCGAAGCACGTATGTGAAACCTGACAGTTCTGGGCTCGATCCTCGATGGTGTCATGGATGCACAGTCCTGAGGATTCATATACTAGAACGGAACATCTTTATAGTGCTTTCTGGTTTTTAGTGACTTTAAGTCATTTCATTATGTAAATTTTAAACTTCAATAATTTCCATAATCTTTATTTAATTATAGCAGTTTTCGTCTAGTCAAACTTATACTTTTCTCAGCCTCCCTAGTCGTAAAACTTAATGGTCAGACTCATTGGTTGTGTTGATATTATCTCGTCTACCGTTAAGGTGACATGTAAAGCGACTTACTTCTGACGAATTCCGAGCAAAAATAGGTAAGGCGTTTATAGATGATGATGATGATCATATAGCTCATCTCTCTATCGTATTTTTTTGTGATCTAGGTACATTGTGCGTCACAAACAATAGCACTGAAACCCATAAGATTTCTTGTAAGCAATGTCTATATCGATCGTTATCCAGTGAATGTTTGTGACGATTGACCTTATAGACCTTTTGCGATTACGTAATAGCCGACTTTTAACCACAAACTTAAACGCCTCTCAGCTTTTACAGCAATCAATTTTTGTTTTTACTAGATAAAACGAAGTTTACTATTCCGAAACCCATATGTGGGAGGGTGTGTGTACTACTCGATCCAAGTGAGGAGAAAAAAAACTGGTTAATATAGATTTATTTGATCAGTGGGAATAACCAATTAATATGATCAATAAACATACAGGATTCGTACTTTTATTCTTTATTGACAACTAAACAGGTCTGATTAAACATTGACTCAATAGAAGTTAACGTAGTTCAGTTAGTTTTAATAATCGTATGATTGGAATGTTACAATCGAATAGCACATTGACTACTGAGTCACATGCTTAGTTCCTTGTACCCAAAATTCTCATGCCTATAACATAAAAACCTTTAACTATTCTTAATCTTAAACAAATATATTACGAATGAATAGTTTTCTTTTAAGTTTATATATAATCGAATTCTTGTTCGTAATCTACTCTTTTTTTTCAAATTTGTTTTCTGGAAAGGGATTATTTGAAAAATGAATCATTAGACAAAAGAAATGTTGAACTGCCAGATCCGGATTCTTGGAAACTCGTTAATACAGAGGTAATTTAACTCTTACTTAGTGTTGACTATCACTATGTTAGTTCGTTTCATATTCGTTCTGTCTATTCCAACTCGCTGTGCTGACGTGGTATGGTAATAATAATAATAATAATAATAATAATAATAACTCTGATCAATATATATCGGTGCTAAGTCTTATGTTGACTTTAACTAACTGAGGATTGATTGATTGAATCACTCACTTTTCGAACAGAATGATAAATTTAAATAATCATTTGATCTATGTTCACAATAAGTTGAATGTTCCAGAGAGTTGATAGTTTGCTGGTCAACCCCCAGCAGTTTTTGTCGCAGGTCCAAACCCCATCCTACCTACTTTGGTTTGAGCGACCGGGTAGTATCACTACCTCTTACGCGTAAGCTGAGGCCCACAGCCAAGGACACACATCTGTACTTGGTAAATGAGTTGGATTATCAATTCGGTTTTATCGGTCGGATAATATCAGTTGTTTTGAATCGTTTGACAAGTACTTGCTGTAATCAACATGTATCTCTGAGAAGTTCAACTTGCATAAATAAGTAAAGGTTAGTAGTCGACAAGTATAGAACGTTTTAATGTCTGATGTTTCGCGACTGAGTTATTTGATTACTTAGCTTTTATGTGTTCTTCAGATGTTCTTAGTAATGTCTTAAGAGTTCAGTTAGTTTGTCTTTTTGTTTCTGGATGGTGAAAAGTTGTTTAGTTTTTTCTGTATGTGACAAGAACATGATATTCTGTAAAAATGACTGCTCTCAATGTCAAACTCATGCTATAAACCAAATTGCATTATTTTATACTATCATATAGTTCATTGTTCAAGGTATACCATTGTTATCTTTGAAGTATCCAACGTCCTGAGAAGCACATTGGTCATCGTATGAAATGACTATTGTTTAATTATGATAATGAAAAATTGAATATACAGCCTCACTTTTAAAAATCATCTTCTAATTACGAAAATACTAATTGATCTAGTTCTATGAAAAGCTGTACAAAATTTTGAGTTGTCTGATAATCTAATTAATTCCTCAAAGTTATACGAATTAATTAATAAATCTAGAAATTACCTTGGTAACTTATCTTGTTAATTTCATCTCACTATGTTTATGTGGTATAAAAACATTGGCCAATACACATATATGCCATATCCAACGTTGTTTATGCCTTGCCTACAAATGCCCTGGTACGGCCGAGAGTAGGGAGAATCCGCTCTCCCTCTCGAAATGCTTCAATATTGTCGCGGACACAGCCACTACCAGAGAGGTCCTACTCATTGCCTTCTCGTGGCAAGGGTGTTGTTCACGAAATTGAGAGGATGAAAAGCGAATGTCCAGCTCTTTAATCGGGTTGGTGGAATTGGAGGACCCATCTAAGGCAGTTGGAAAACCCTGATTCCAAACCAATCGTGCATATGGGCTCCAGGATCGTGAGGTAACAAATGGTGTATGCACCGATTCTTGGTCACCGACTACCATGGGACTGCATCTCCCAACGTTGCTCTACTGCCTTGTAGATTAGACATTTAGGCCAAAGGCTTGGTGTGTGTGGGGCCACCTAAGAAAACCACCCGATTCGGTTTAGGCGCCCAATCAGTATTTTTGGCCATACTCAGACTAAATCATTTTTGTGCAGTGCACGTATATCTGGTGCCCCCTTGTACTAATGTTTATGTGCTCAGATAATAATGATAATACAACCTATCATATAATTGATTTACATTTAAAATATTTATTTCAAGGACACTGTGCCTCAGCAGTACAACGGTTCCGATTGTGGTGTTTTCCTCTGTACATTTGGTGAATTCATCTCTCGTGATGCTTCTTTTACATTTAGTCAGGTAATCTATTCATTTTCAAATTGTTATCCAATTTTCACAAAACCATGTATGTGTATGTTTTGTTAATTTATCGTGTTATTTATGACGTTGATTTTTAATGCTTACCAAATATTATTTAATAATTGTATTATTGTATTTGTATATAACAGTCTCAAACAACACATTAGTTAGATTATGAGGTTAAAAGTTACATTAGTTTGTTGTCTGAATATATGTCGGTTATACTATCAATAAAAGTATTTCTGTCATCGTTCATTTCGCTGTTAAGAATTTCAGTGGTTACCGTACACTTAACTGAGTTTTAGTTTATAAAGTTCAGTCAGACGTTTAAGATCGAAAAATCAGTTTTTTATGTTACTTTGTTTCAGTTTCAGTCAGTCATCTACAAAGTAGGACCAGGCAAATATATTCATAGGTTCACGTTGCCGTACCTCATTAGCAGAACAAGATGATCACCAAATTCATAGAAGCAGTTACTTCAATAATAGTAAGAAAAGATTTCATATAAGGATATGATACAGGGAGGAAAATTTAGTTCGTAGAAATAAAGGCATGAAATAATTTTAATCTCACGGTTTAAGGAAAGACAAAGAGTGTATACACCTACGCTATTGCTATCGATTCTGAACCATATCTCCCAGAGTCTCCAACCATTGGTTACGATAGTCATGCGGACCCCAACCAAGTAATCTGTATCTACCAACATGGCTCAAACTAGAAGTTAACGACTTTATGGACTGATGCTACGTTTTGCTTCGGCCGCCCCTAAATTTCTTCCATCCATCTGCAATACTGGTCAGGATTGCACACCGTGGTAATCTGTATTCAGGAATGTGTAACACGTGGCCCAACCATCTCAGTCGATGTAGATTCACAACCTCATCAACTGATTTACCATCATTCCCAAATACTCTGGCGTCTAATCTCACTGTTATTTACCCGGTGATCCCAACAGATGTGAGCAATATTTCTAGAACATTTATGACCAAACTTAATAATGTAGTTTTTAGCGATATGTCTAACACTGAAGGATTTCAAAATTCATGGTCCGACCGTTCAAAAATCCCAATCTTATTATAACAACAAGTATCTGAACGAATAATATTTGTTTCATTAATTCATAACTAGATTTATATATTTATCAGTTTGTAGGTGTCATTACCAGGGTTTGACTTGATAATTTCGAATCTAATGTGTAGTAATCTACAGTGAAACATCAAGGAACTGATGAACATTTAGGGCTTTTTCAATATAAAGTAGATGTATGTGATCGTAAACCATTACAAATATTTGGTTACGTCGTGTGTATTATATCGAATGAAGAAGATATATACGGAATTCATGTCAGATTGTTAGAAATAGTCAAAAGGGAGACATTACTCAACTTAGGTTTCTCACTAATTGACAGTTTATTGCAAGATATAATCAGAATTTTCATGAAATTCTACTAAGACCAAGTTAACATGACCTTGACCACTTCTCAATGTTCATTAAACTCTAATTACCTCAATCGTTTGAGAAATTAATCCCTACACGAAGAGCTTAATGATAACGTCTTAGATTCATTTATCAATTACTTGAATGTGATCTATACCACTTCTGACTTAAATGTTTGATTATGTGTGTAATCATCTATAACAGATACTCACTAGCTATTCATGTATATATATATGTATATGTTCATACATAATTCATTTCATTTATATTATATTCTGTTTTCGGTCGCTTATCTAATCACAAAGGATGATATGCCAGGAATACGTAAACGTATGATGTATGAAATATTGACACAACAATTATTAACTACAAATTTCAAATTAATTGATGATGATAAATAAAGAAAGAAAAAAAAACAAGATGTTTTTGTTCTAAATAGAGATTCTTTTTTCTGCAATCGTTGTTCTTTTCTTTTTTCTTTCTTTCTTTTTCTTCTCTCTGTTGTACTGTATTGTATGTATGTATGTATGTATGTATGTATGTATGTCTTCTGTGTCTTTGTTTTCCCCTTACAAATCTGTACACAATACCTTTTATTTATAAAAGAGTTTGAAAAACTTTATTTTTGTTTAAAAAAATATATTCATAATATTCTATTTCTATTTAACTGAATAGAAAGAATTTCGATTGTTTCTATGGTGTTTTGCCTACTTGACTATTGCATAATGTTGTAACTCATCAAATTACATGTCTATCTATACGAGTTTGAGCCAGGTTTATTTTTTTTAAATGTATTTGTTTAGATGATAGTGATAATACTCAGTTATCTAAACTAAATCACGTGAATCTGGATTGAAATTTACGAGTTTCTAGTTGACATTCGATTGATTCAATCACTAAATCATCCCTTAATGAGTTCAGGACTCTTTTGAGGTTAACATGTCTATTAATTACTTATGTTAGTATCTTGAATTTTTGTGTTTATGAGAGTATTATAACCGTAATAGTTACTTTGTTAAGATTCGCAACATTTGGAGGATTTTTGGTCAAATTTTGGGGGATGAAATCAATGTAGGGTTTTTTTGGAATCCAGCGATTGTAATTTTCGTTTTATTTTTTGGATAGGCCATGAAAACCCTATTGAAACTAATCAGTTAGTTTAAACAACTGAGATAAGTAACTTTCTTTGATCAATAATGAATGAATTCTCGTTGAATTTCCTCAAATTTCTTTATCTAATCATGTCCAGTGAAGCTTGAAAGCATTCAAATAGTCGTCAGTAAATTAATTAGAATTCTTAAGCCATCAAGGGCTAAAAATCTTAATCAAATAGTTTACCAATAACGTTTTATGATCAGAATCTACTGAGGCTCCATATTCATTGTAACGATTCAGGCAAGAAAAGATGCACATTTGGTAAATGTTATTGCTGAGACCATAATTTATGGACGACTTTAGTGACCTTGAGAATGTCCACCTACCTACTAGGACTAAATGAGGATTATAAAGCAATTTGAAGGATGAGGTTTATGATTTATAGTTGATGGTTATGGTTAGGAATTAGATTTATGGTTTTTCATCACCGACATCAGCTAAAATGCCAACGGGTGAATGAATTTCGAACAGAATATCTATTTCATTCGGTTCTCATTAGCTGCTTTTCACTTGTAATATTGAAAACCAAAATTACAAAGTGGATTGAAATATTTACGAATTAAATGTACATAATGGTTCTTAAATTGCAGATTTAGATATCAGGGAGAGAATAAGTTAACTTACTTAAAACAAAGTTACTATTCTTAGGAAAACTGGCTAATTCACTATGTACATGCTTTTCGAAACGTTTCGTTTCGATTATTTCGTATTACATTTAGACGACTAGTTACTTATCTCGTCGTCAATTTCTTTTCTTGTCACAATCATTATCTTTTTTTCTGTTGATATTCACTTACTGTATTGTTAGCCAATAGTGATCAATTTAAGTCATATAATTAGTAGTTGATATAAGATAGTGGTTGGAGGTGATCAACAGGGTTTCGTGCTATTCGGTACTCGTCAGCAAGGTATGCCTGTAATGTTGATGTGATTGATACTCTCTAAAGAACCTGACACATGGCAGTGATCAATCGATGGTGAATTATTAATCGGTTGTCATAAATCCACTCTTAGAAGGAACTTTTTTTGTCTCTTATGCACAGATACTTATGGATTTAGAGTATACAGATAACATAGTTATGATTAGTGAAAGCTCTAACCTTAATACAGGTTTTTCTGAATGACGTGGCTCCTGGTGTAAAAATGTTTGGGACTCATTATCTAGAAAAAAAACTTTGCTTCAGTGCTCAGTAGGATGTTAGGGACTGGAGTAATTCAAAACTTATACTAACATTCTTATCAATTTTAATATGTTGTTTGGCAATATGCACATATGCTAACATGAGACTGATCAATTGCAGTCCTAAACATCAATAGGAAGATTCAGGCGAACAATACTTAGTGGATTTATCATAACCGATGTTTGTTACGTATTCGAAAGAATCAGTACTCAATACTAAATTAGTAAGCCACCGATATGACTCCTGCTTCTTTGTCTTTGTTTATTCAAACAATAATGATAATAACATTGAAACCACGAACCGATTTAAGTTAGGCGACCATTGAAAAAGTGGAAGCATTGGTTGCCAGTTTCATGCTAATATGAGATTCCTCAAATGCGTATTCACAACCGGTAGTCGAAACCAGAACCTTTGTTCGTGATTTCAATGTAATTCAACAGTCTCCATACTGACGATAATATTAATGGGCTTCACACACATATTATGATCGGTAGCCGGTAACACTAGTCCTTAATCCGCTATACGTTAAACCCTATGATTTTCATTATGATTCATAGAAAATATAGAATAATGGTTATAGCGAAACGCACATGTGAGTTATGAATCTAAAAATAAATATCCAACTTTACTTTGTGTATTCACCATCGAATTTATTCACCCTGATTAATTGGTTTCGTATAATCGAATCTATGTATAGGCTGTAATTTACTTTGATTCAGTTCAGAAAATAAAATTACATTTGGTTTGGTGAGTTTACATTAAATGTATATTGCTAGAATAGAATTATTTTAGAAGAAGATTGTTAGTTAAAGACGTTCTAGGATTATTCAATTGAGTTATACATTAGTGTGTTAAGTTCTTAATCGAAGATTTTAGTTTTACCACTGAATATTCACTCTTTTTTCTCTTCGAACTATCTTTTGTTCATTTTTTTTAATATCACTGTTAGCATCATATAATTTCCTCTGAACATATTGGTCAATAAAATAAGTACTCGGACTGACTGTCATTTGTAGTAAGTTCAATATTGAGATGATGGAGAAAATTTGTAGCTCAGGTGGATGATTGTGATGAGTTTTTGTTCTGTGACCAAACCATCCAGCTCAGAGAACAAAAATCTATCAAAGTAAGTTCAATATTGTCTCTGATAGATATTGAAGCTAGACCACCATGGATGCATACTGCTGAGAAGTCTCACACTAGGACGAAACGGCCATCCAGTGCTTCCAGGTTTTCCATGGTTGTCTCATGATTCCAACTGTTGACTATGAACACCGCTACCAGGAAACACGTGCCAATTAGATCAGAAGGCGTAAGAAGCTCGTTCCAAATGACTCCATAAAATCCCCGAGAAGCCAAATATCAGAAGACAGTTAATGGACCAAGTCGAGTTATATTTGGCTGGCGATCTCGTGGCATCGAAAGGATACCGAGATCGTGCCAGGATACAAGCCATTGACCTATGTCATATCATTGAACGATAGTTCATTTATAAAGCTAGCCCATATTTACTTACAAGTTAAAATTAAAATAATAAAAAAACTTCATTTAGATATTACACTTATAATCATCATTCATTACTTTAATATTACATTGACTTTCAGATAGTTATTTAATACAATACCTATTCTAAAAATAATAACAAATGAAGTGGTCGACAAACCTTTTATTTTTTCTTCTTTACAACATGTAATGTAAACGTTCAATTATGAAGTTTACTTCTTCCCATGTGTTTCATGTGTAGTATTTCCATTCAACTTCACGGTAGTTGTAGGTGTATTCGTCGTCATTTCAACTGTTGTTGAATTCGTATTGTGTGGAGTAACAGTTACTGTTGGGCTGGAGATATTTCTAAGATGTTTTATAACATGGTTATGACTATGTAAATGAATAATTATGACTCTTGCTGTTGAATTATTTCTATTTATAGTATGATTACGATGTAAAGTGATTGTAGTATTAGGAGTAATAGCTAAATGTGGTCGACTTATTATCACTCGTCTATTTGGTATACTCAATAATTCACATACAAAATATTTTGTTTCAGTACAATAATGTACACCCCATTTACCACTAGCATAATCTATTGATAGACAAGCAATATCATTTGCTCTTAAATTTTCTAATACAGGACTATGATGATGTAGAAAACGTAAAGTTACAGGTGTATGATCTGTCCACGTTTGTATTACATGTCTATGTTGACCATTGAATTCATGCACAATTAATTTAATCAATCCACCAATCCAAAATTGTCTTGCTTCTGTGGATAAAACCCAACCCATTATTACATGTATCATAGATGAGCTATGAATTGATACTAAATCACCGTACAGAATATTTTTCGAATGATTGAGATACTTAGTATTCAGTGTTGTATTTATATAGTCATTTAAAGAAATATTATGTCTTGTAGCATTCTGAATTAATGTCTCATCAATAAGTTGGATATTTCTAGACAACTTTTGACAAAATCTCATCGCATCAAAATGACTAAGACGTGCATCATTACCGCCATGAACATACACAAGTGTTAAATATGTGCTAACATGTTTTACTGATAATTTCCAACTACTTGTGAGTAGTAAATTCCAAATTATTAAAAGAAGGAGTGATATAATTCGTGAAGACGTTTTCATAGCATAAAATATTCTATCCTGTTTTCAAAGTACACATGTATTTATACAATAGCTAACCAATTAATTATAGAGTACATTGTAATCTATAAATAAGGTTGATTATTCAATGTTTACTTGTAGAATAATTCTCATTTAGACAGAATTAGTGCATTCAATTATTGATGTGTACACCGAATATTATATTTTCGTACTCAGTTTACTATTTCCATACATACCATCTTTTTCATATCCACTATGGTTTGTTTAAATACAATAAGTCATTGCACTTGAAAGCCTATCGAGAAATGATTACTTTTCAAAGTAATATTCGTGTAAACTACAACAATTTTCATGTTGAAGTTTTACATCACCAACCGACTTGAGCTAGGTGACCATTGAAAAGCAGCAAGATTTGAACAATTGTTCTGTCTCATTTCAAGAAACATG